GAGTGAGTGAGTGAGTGAGTGAGTGAGTGAGTGAGTGAGTGAGTGAGTGAGTGAGGAGGACGCACCTGCAGTGTATGAGCACTGGCCCCGGATGTGTGAGGGCCAGCGATGTGACCCTCCGCCGCACCTCCAGCAACAAACCGGGCTCAGGCCACTCTTCATGGAGACCCACCATCTCGTAATGGGTCAGAGCCCGGGATTCACAGCTACCTTCCTGTGGGGCACAGAAACATAAAACATTTCCGTCAGAATTCGTTGAATGAATGACGTCAAAGAACATTAAAATCTCTTGTCACCTGTACACAAATCTGTGACGTTGCCAATGCACAATTCTCTCTAGTTTAGTTTTATTAAGACTTTTACGGCATTTGCAACATAATAAAGTCATATAAATGCTGAAGATAAGAGGTGTTACAAGAGAGTAACTAACATAAAAAAAAAGGAGGTGAGATCAGGACGATAGATGTTTGATTGGAAAGAAGGAGCAAACCACACCAGAGCACCCGCTAAGCACCCACACAAAACATCTCCGTCAGAATTTGTTGAATGAATGACGTCAAAGAACATTAAAATCCCTTGTCACCTGTACACAATTCTGTGACGTCACCAATGCACAATTCTCGAATTCCATTCCGATTCTGCAAGATCTGCAGAGTGGCAGATACTGGATGTAACGATTGTACCAAAGGCGTTACTGATTTGCGTCCACCTCCTAAATGATATAAATTGTGTCGATGTTGACACAAAACAGTAACGTCTGATTAGAATACATCATTCAAACCTAAAGACAAGGATTCGTTGAAATAAACTTGACAACGCTAAATCAAACTCATGTTGCTTTCATTCAATAGCGACTCTAACCCTTTCACCACAGGCACCTGTCAGCAACAGTACTGAGGCAGCCTTTTATTCTATTATTCTTCCGGTTCTAGGTAACAGTCGCACAGAATTGGTCATTTTTAAGGACAAGCAGGTTAACCCAGATTTTGGGGGTTCCAGAAAACGTGACCGACACCAAAAGTAGGTATTGCCCTACCTACATGAGAAGTTTGGTTTCATTGGTGCGTTTATTTTTGTTGTTGTGTAGAGAAAACTCTCCTTGTCTTTTAAAGAAACTGAACAAGAGGCAAAAATTTACCTTCGATTATTTTAAAATTGCATTTTTTGGAATAGCCCCCTTGTGCTTAAAAGCGACCAATTATTACAACGGAAAACAAGAAGGCGTGACAAATCGAAGTCCAAATTTTCTCAAAGGGAAGCGGCTACTGAAGTATAACCAAAGAGTAATACTGATTTTTCATTTACTTAAGGACACGCGTGCCGCATGAGCCGCACCAAGTCAATTGAAAATCACAGTATACCTTTGACAAGGGTGCACTGGGCATTTACTTTAATTAACCCGCTGGACTCAAACATACCGACCAGAGTAGCTGATAAGTGTGCTGTTTGTTTTTCTTTTACCAGTATGCGTTACCCCAGCTAACTCCACACACAACCTGAATTGGTTTGGTAAAACAAGATTTTTAAAAATAGAGGTGGGGGGTGAAGTTTGAAGATTTTTACAAAAGATGGAAGTTGAATTTTTTAAATAAATGGAACAGTGGAGTGCAGAAGAAGGGAAGTTTGGGGCACGAGAGCGGAGAGAGGTGGGGGAGGGATGAAGCTATGCTGCTCTGAGGGGAAAAACTGTTGTTGGGGGTTTTTTTTTTCAAAGATCAGGGATTTGGCAAACAGTGGCAACGAGGAAACAGTGTTGGGAAAGGACAAAGGCATGTATAATCTCATACTAAGAATAATTAATTTTCAGCTGGGACAAAAATAAGAATTTCGAGAAAATTCATCGCTAAAGAGAAGTACATCAATACAAAATTGACCATTCAGAACTGAGGTTATGTCAAATTACGAAGAGAATTAACACAGCAGGACTAGAAAGAAATAAAAAGTTATAGCGCCAGCAAGAATCCAGTCTCCATTTAGTCAGAATTATCTGATGCTTGAAGTGTTATTAGAGATTAACACACAAGGAAAAGAAGGCAGAGATAATATGGTCGTTGTTAAGCACAAGGGGGCTATCCCGAAAAAAGCTGTTTTTGAGAAAATCGAAGGTAAAGTTTTTGCCCCTTATTCAGTTTCTTTAAAAGACATGGAGAGTTTTCTCTATAACCAAACAAATATACACACCAAAGACACCAAACTTCTCCTATAGATAGGACACTGCCCTTTTTTGGTGTTGGTCAAGATTTCTGGAAACCTCCGAAATCTGGGTTAGCCCGCTTGTCCTTAAAAGCGACCATATAAGGGGGTTACATGTTGAATTGAAAAAGGGGGGGCAACTACATCATAGCACACGCTAACCACCAAACAAGAGAATAAACTATGAGATACAATAGAAAGCGTTGCATAGCTAGTGAAGTTCGACGTGTGTCGAGCTTTTGGCCTTTAACATGCGTTCATAGAACATAGGTTTTTGTTGGGCGCAACATTATGAAGTACCGTGCCATTATATAAGGCCTGCATAATATGGATGGAGGGGATCAGAGAGGGCTTGTTGGAAACCTAAGAATGTTTGAACCATGGGCGTTAGAATATCAGGCTGGAGGCGCCGAGAATCTGGAAATAGCTCGTAATAATTAACAAGGACAAGCTGTACAATAAACATCACAGAGAAAGGCGGAGGAGG